GTCGAAGTAAATTGTTGTTCAAAACAACGCACCAGATATTTCTGTTGTTGTGAGTGACCGGATAAATGCCCCAGGTACAATGAGGAAGGTAGATTGCACGTCTTAACTTAACTAATGATTGTGCGCAGTTATCTTCTTAGTGCGATAAGATGAAAAAAATTTCTCTCTGGTGCGATGTTCAAGATATTAATGGAATTAGGTTAATATGGTAATAATTGAGAGGGGTCACAGCGAATGACAGCGGTCACCAAAATCGCTCAGCCAAAAGGCAATCTTATTTTGACATCTTTGCACTTCAGCTGATCATTTCAGGATAATACCACAACACATTACGATAATAGCAAACAGTATCAATAAGAATGTGTTAAGTTTTTGTTTGACGACAACAACATCAAATTGTATCATATCATGTGCTTGGACGTAGATATAATTGTCATCGATTGGTCAAAAATATTCTTAAATTCCTGAGGATGATTTTGAACGTCCATTATATTAATATTCCAGAAGTATGGTCGAGTACCACGGGGGAAGGATTTCCGTCGTTCCCTGTATTGCACTAAACTCGTGATACAGTGAGCGACGGAAAAATGCCCCCAGTGGTACTACTGTAGTGAAATATCTTGAAATTTGTATCGGCAATAAAATTACCAACAACGAGATATGTCAGATTTATATTCAAGCTGTGCTTGAATTGAAGAGCCATACCCACGTTGATCAGTAGAATATAGATCATTTCATGCTCAGCCACGACTACTACATTACTTTTGAAAACAAATATGTCGAAAATGATATATATATTGAAGTGACACACCTACAAAATAGGATTCAGTGGCAGAACATTTTCAAAGAGTAATGATTTCACATGGCGTGTCCTCCCAGGCTTTAATAGTGGACTTAACCATAGCCATGCATTTTCGTCTGCAGACAAAACCGGATTTTTGTGAGCCTGGTGTAGCCTTGGTTCGACGTTGATATGAACGACTCAGTTTTGCGGGACTTTTGAACCAGCCAATGATACTAGAGGAGCCAGTCAATTTAGATTCTATAGCTCGGAATGTGAACATTTTATTGCCATCAGTTCATCGTATACGTTTTTGACATGGATGAGTATGTGAGGAAGACAAAACATGTTGAACGTAGTTGAACAAGAGTTTTTTACTTCGCTCTAGGCAAGCGCATTAGGCTCCCAAAACGGACGTTATGAGGTTCCAGCGCACTCTGGCTATATGGCATACCGTGCATCGACGTCATGGGTTGAACCCTGTACCACTCGGGCTTCGCGCATGAGCTCTACCAAGTGACGCAATTTTCGTAGTGTTTGTCAAGATGTTGTAACTGAATTGCACCCACGTAGACCCGTTGCAGAACATATCATCGTTATGTTGAATGATATTGAATTTACAACGAAGACGAAATGAGTAGGTTAAACATTCATTTGACTGAACGTCCACTATCAAACTATGTATAATACCACATACTAGTTCGTAGAAGCATTTGTTACTCATTGGCTAAGACTCCCACAATTTCTTCTTGCAGATTGAAAGATTCGACAATATTAATATGATGAATTTGTGGTGAGTACCTCTGGGGGCATTTTTCCATCGCTCACTGTATGTTTTCAATCGACAACGCCATCGACCAATCCGTTTCTTTGAAAAATCGTCATCTAATGAAAAGTATTTTCATGTCAGTCATCCAACCTCCTGTCAGAAATTTGTTGGATAGCTTTATGTCGGATGCCTTGAACGCGTGTCTACAGTGAACGACGGAATGGTACGCCACCCGAAGTTTTGACATGGACAGCTTTACATTTGTCGAATGAGAATTAGTAACTAGAATAAGGCAATGTAATTGGCTAATGATATATACTACCTCCCGTTGGCGAGAGCGTTTTAGAATTAAGATTGCCACGCATTGAGGAATTTATGACCTGTACTCGGCAGTGCAAGACCCAAAGAGGTTTTATTTACACGTTGACATTTAAGCTGTACGAGCTGCAACTCCTGGAGACTTCGACCCAGCTGCGTGTTTTGAAGGAACTTGGCATACCGAGGTGCACCATACGCTCTTGGGCCGAACAACGTGACAACATCCACAACTACAAAAAGCGCTTGAAACTCAACACTAGCGGCCACTGCTAAACGTTCCCCGACCCAGTGGGCTTCAAAGGAGGGTATGAGAACAGGCGTTAATAACGACTCAGCAGTTTACCTCCTCCGCCAGACGTATTTTCACCGTCGACGTCGTCGATCTGTCGCTTGCCTTGTGACTTCATCGCTTCCTCTCTAACCTGCCCTCCAGCATCCTCAGCACGTAGAGCAGCACAATCTTCAGTACTTGCACGTCGCTCGTCTACATTGGCTGCTTCTTTCATGTGCCTTGCAATTCGTCAAGCAGAATGGTCATCTTATTGACGTCTTCTGCAACGCTGGATACTCTCACAGATGCCGTAGCCGCCTTGGCTGGTCACGCTTCAAAAGCGTTCAGCGTGCCTGAGCGTTCATGCCGTCAAAGTTAGGACGGATAAAGTCGTCGAAAAAAGAAAACGACTCAAGGTTCTAGGCAACGTAGTCCCACACATCCATGATCGAACCACGGCGAGCAAGAAAGGATTACTGCGCGCTCACTTGCGTCAACAAAATGGCATCTTCCTTCACAGTGAACTGGCGACGCTTAACAGTGTTGCCATTGCAAACCCGGAGAAGGATTTTCATTACACTTAAGTATAGAACTTCTCAATTTGCTATGCATAGGGAGGAAGGGAGCGGTGGTCGGCAGTTGAGCCTAGTCCAAGTTGGCACGAAGTGGGCGGCGGATGCCACCATAGTGGGGACGGGTAGGGATGAGGCGACTGATGCGTTGGAGGTGGTGAGGGCGTTGGTTGTCTTCGCGTTGAAACGTTTCCAAGATATCAACTTCTTCTTCACCGTCGAAAATGTGGACGAGGTCGTTGAGGCGTTGGAGGGGTATGCGTGGCTGATGTCACTTTCGGAAGTGATCACGAGGTAAACGCCGCCATCCGCTGCCGCCGAGATCATGTCGTACACAACGTCATTTGCCGAGCGCTTGGCGATGTTGGTGGTGACGGATTCGTTGCGGAAGGGAAGCGCGTGGTCGAGGACGAGGTGACGGATGAAGAGGTGATACTTGGAAAGAGGGATCGACGAGGTAAGGGCTATGTCTTCCTTGTCTTTGAAGGCACACATGTCGCCTTGGGTGAAGGTGAACGGGAGGTCGAGGATGGCGCATGCTTTCTTCAGGGCCTGTACAAAGCAGGTATTGTCGGTGTTGGCACCGATCACCAGCCAGGTGGGGTCGTTGCAACACCATTTCCGGATGTCACCAGCACCCTTGCCTTGGCGTTCAGCGGCAGGAAGCGCAAGATAACGGTCCAAGAGGGCTTTGGCTGCATCCAGAGAGGAGCATTCCAGGGAGCCTGTAAAGACCCATTCCATATCGTCGAACTTCTTGGAGGGCAGTAGCCATTAGACCATGTATCATGTTTCGTCGTGTTAGTCAGGGTTGGCTTGCTTGTCCAGGAGTCCGTCGATATGGTGGAGTCTCGGTTCCGCTTCGATGTCGGCATGTGTAGCCGTGGTACGCGAGGGACATGTGTCGGAGGAGTGAGTTGGACAGGACTTAGTGGCTTGCGGGGACGCTGTTCGCGGGGAGGAGGGGTGGGGTAGAAGCGGTGGTCGGATGCGAAGAATTGGGTGAGATGACGAGTGCGGTGCGCAGGAACACTGGTGGTCACCTCAAGGACTTCGGGCTCCGAGTCGGAAGCTGTAGCCGAAGAGTCGGAGTCTTCGCCAGACTGCGAGGGTGAGCCATTGCAAACCCGGAACTGAGAGGAATTGAATCCTCTCCTACCTCGATGGGATAGGAAAATGCATTAGATTTCTCGAGTTTCCGTACAGTGGTACAGTTTCTCACGGTGAAGTTGAAATCAAAAGGGGGAAACGGAAAAAGAGCTGAGAGGACTTTTAAGAATCACGAGGTATTTTAGCGCATATTATGGGGAACAGTCTACAGTTTTTCTGATCAATCTTGCGCGACTGTGGCGTTCATTGTTCTTCACAAATCAACAGAAATTTCTCTGGTTCTGAGTGAACGAATAATCGCCCAAGGTGCAAGAAACTGACTGCATGTAATTGGTTGGAATGCAAAATGTATATGTTTTACCTAAAGATTGATTGCAACAAACTTCTTGGTGCGATAAAAAAACAAGATATCGCTCTGGTGCGATTATCGAGGCGTTGCGAGAGTTAGAGTGATACGGTAATTTGGTCAAAGTGGGGTCACAGCGAATGACAGCGGTGCCAAACCGCTCAGCCAAAAGGCAATCTTTCATTGATGACTTCTGCATTCGGTAGATCATGATACCATAATACCATGAAAACATTAAGTTACGACTCCTAGTATACTAAGTCTGAGTAATAATGTGTTTTGATGTTGTTTGGCGACAGCCGGATAAAGTTATTCAAATCATGTGCTTGAAAGTGGATAATATTGTCATCCATTGGCCAGTGTGGTTTAAATTTTGATGAGGATGATATTTGACGTCCACCATTTATTCCAGAGGTATGGTCGAGTACCACACAGGAAGGAATTCCGTCGTACCTAATGTTGTCAATTTCGCCCAAATCTGGACTGGCGACGCGATTGGCCAAAACCGCTTGAAAACGTCTTAGCTGGGATTATCTTGTCCCCAATATAGTATACAATGCGCAGAATGTCACTTTGACACACAATTGCAAGAAAGGATGATCCTCCGGCACGTTCAGCACACTCATGCACCGAAGAAAACTGTCATGCACGCACTTTATGTGTACTGCTTCCTTGGCGCCAAGCGCTCTGTCGTCGCACGGCTGTTCAACAAGTCTGTGTCCACGATCTAAAGCTGGAATGAGCGGTATGAAAACACATCCGACTTCGAACGAATGAAGTCAAGTCAAGTCCGTGCCTTCAGCGACGAGCAGAAACAGTGGGTTGTCAAAAAATACTTCCAACAAAACCCACGTGCCTCTCTTGACGAGGCAATGCGCGCTTTCGAAACCCATTTTAAGAAGTACATCTCCATCTCCTTCAAACACTCGTGGTGGCAAACTGCAGCCATTGTGATCGCGGCCGTAAACGGCCTCTTTGACAAAAAAATCTGCCCGCATGCGATACAGTCCAGGATGACTGTGGAAAGGGGTGCTATGTGTAGTAGACCGTTGAGTATCGGAGACAAGATCGACCTGTGGTGGTGACTGGGACGAGTGGGTGTGATATTTGTGTGGTGGTGAGGTGCGCTGCATCGTCACTCGGAGACTGACTACTGACAGTGCAGTCAATGGGAAAGTGCTCTGATTTTTTTGGCTATAATTATTTGACGGAAAAGATTTTGATTGGCTTAAGCGATTCTTTACGGGATTCACTTGCGCGATTCGTTTCGTCGAGGAGCTCCAGTTTCGAATGTACTAGTATTACACAATACCACTGGGGACATTTTTCCGTCGCAAGTACTGGGCACAGGTTTCTGCTCCTGGTACCCCTGGGACATTTTCCCGTCGCACGTATCACTGGGAACATTTTTCTGTTCCTAGCACCACTGGGGACATTTTTCCGTCGCAAATTCAACTGGGCACATTATCCAGTCGCTCACAGACTTGTAGAAGGTGTGTCGGGGCAAAACCAAGTTCGAATCAGCAACCTGAGAGCCTACTAACAGCATCGAAAGCTCGTCAGCATGACGCATGTCAAAGTCAATTATACGGTGCTTTGAACACAGCTCATTCATTTAGGCAGTGCACCGTCAGCGACGGAAGAAATGTCCCCAGTGGTACTTCATACATTTTCTAAACATCAACATTAGACAGATTTCGGAGATACATCCTGTGCCGGTGCCGTATCTGCATCCTGTACATATTTATAAATTTGACGGCAACTCTGAAAATGCATGTGGGATGCCGCCAAAAAGTCCGATTTGGCGGCAAGTTTCTCCTTTGCCGTGTCCGGATTCTCTTTTTGTTCTGCCACGCTCACTTCCTTCACGGCACGAGGATGGCCGAGGCTGCCGAGGACTCCACCCACCGAAACACTCGACAAGAAGTTGTGGTCTGAGGACGACGCAGATCAACAACGATCGGCCGTTCATGCAACGGCAAGCCACAAAGGCATGGGAGGCCATGGCGTTGACACTGCGTGGGGTCGATGAGTTTACCCGGCAAGGAATCGACGGGAAGAAGGCCCAAAACCGCTTCCTTCTGTTGATGCGCCAACA